TGCAATTTCCGAGCAGGTGAATCAAGTTAATGCTTGAAGCCAGAAAAAACACTGCTTTTCCCAGCAGTTTCTCGAAATGCACGACTATGCCAGATGATTATTTTGTAACCAATTCACATAACTTGAAAACAATACTTATTTCAATTTCAACACTGTTGTCAGTCAGGAGGATGAACCCACAGGATAAAAATGTCAAATCTTCCTGCAAGCAAAATATGTCTTTTCATTCTCTCACCGCACCTTTTTGATTTGCAGGAACAGAAGACATGGGTATTTTGTCCCAGAACTGCTGCCAACAGTGCAAGGCTTGCACTATAACCAGGAACATGAAGATGACTGCAGGATAAATGTTGCAGATACCCACAAATATAAGTCACATAACAGCCTTGATAAATGCCCTTGTGATGAGTCATTTAGGGCTTGGGGGAATGGTGATGGTGAGGTGTTAAGTATTAGAAACATGGCACATATATCCCTCTTCCTTTTGCACAAAAATTGGGTGAGCAAGTATTTCATCGATGTTTGATATTTATTTTTTGATATCTATTCAAATTTGATTATAAATTGGGCTTCCATCGAGCATTCGGGAGCTTAATGTGAAATTAACAATTCTGCTCTGATTTCCCAGCATTCAAGAATGCCAACAACAAAAGGGAGGTGGTCGCTGCGAGCTCTGGTTTCCAGCATCCTTGTTGGCAAGGAAGAGCAGGAGTTCTCCAGATGTGTACTCGAGGGGACCCAATCACTCCTGACCTCCAAATTTGTACCTCCTTCCTAGCCTGCTCCATCATGGAACTTTCTCTGCTGCCTGTTTATGACTTTTTCACATCTCCTGATAGCAGTCTTCTCTCCTTCCTCCCAATCACTCTCTCCTCTCCTGATCCTCACCAAACTCTGATTGCGGGGTTCTGTCATCTGGGGTCTCTGGCTGTCATCTCCAGCCCAACCTGGTCAGACGGTCCATTTTGTCAGCTGTCACACAAGAAAGAGAACTACAAAATGTCACTGACGTTTTGCCTTAGAGTTCAACAGAAATTACACATCTCTGGCCCTACCAGGGGTAGGTAAAGCAAGTCTTCAGCAACAGCTAATTCGGACAATTCAGATTTTGCAGTGAGAAGCAGGCAGGCCCATGATACTGACATCTATAAGCAAATACCTGTATTTTAAAAATCATCATTAAAACACTCTTTGATGAAAGAGTTGGTGATTTTGGATTTTGAATGTTGCTGAAAAGAGAGACATGTTGCTGAAATGGTTCACAGAACATAGATCATAGAACAGAGAACATTACAGCGCAGTACAGGCCCTTCGGCCCTCGATGTTGCGCCGACCTGTGAAACCTATCTGAAGCCCATCTAACCTAAACTATTCCATTATCATCCATATGTTTATCCAATGACCATTTAAATGCCCTTAAAGTGGGCGAGTCTACTATTTTTGCAGGCAGGGCATTCCACGCCCTTACTACTCTCTGAGTAAAGAACCTACCTCTGACATCTGTCCTATATCTATCACCCCTCAACTTAAAGCTATGTCCCCTCGTGCTAGCCATCACCATCCGAGGAAAAAGGCTCCCACTGTCCACCTTGTCTAATCCTCTGATGATCTTGTATGTCTCTATCAAGTCACCTCTTAACCTTCTTCTCTCTAACGAAAACAGCCTCAAAACCCTCAGCCTTTCCTCATAAGACCTTCCCTCCATACCAGGCAACATCCTGGTAAATCTTCTCTGCACCCCTTCCAATGCTTCCACATCCTTCCTATAATGCGGTGACCAGAACTGTACGCAATACTCCAAGTGTGGCCGCACCAGAGTTTTGTACAGCTGCAATATGACCTCATGGCTCCGAAACTCAATCCCTCTACCAATAAAACCTAACATACTGTACGCCTTCTTAACAACGCGATCAACCTGGGTGGCAACTTTCAGTGATCTATGCACATGGACACCGAGATCTTTCTGCTCATCCACACTACCAAGAATCTTACCATTAGCCCAGTATTCTGCATTCCTGTTACTCCTTCCAAAGTGAATCACCACACACTTTTCCACATTAAACTCCATTTGCCACCTCTCAGCCCAGCTCTGCAGCTTATCTATGTCCCTCTGTAACCTACAACATCCTTCTGCACTATCCACAACTCCACCGACTTTGGTGTCATCCGCAAATTTACTAACCCATCCTTCTACGCCCTCATCCAGGTCATTTATAAAAATGACAAACAGCAGTGGCCCCAAAACAGATCCTTGAGGTACACCACTAGTAACTGAACTCCAGGATGAACATTTCCCATCAACCACCACCCTCTGTCTTCTTACAGCTAGCCAATTTCTGATCCAAACCGCTAAATCACCCTCAATCCCATGCCTCCGTATTTTCTGCAATAGCCTACCATGGGGAACCTTATCAAACGCTTTACTGAAATCTAAATACACTACATCAACCGCTTTACCCTCATCCACCTGTTTGGTCACCTTCTCGAAGAACTCAATAAGGTTTGTGAGGCACAACCTACCCTTCACAAAACCGTGTTGACTATCCCTAATCAAATTATTCCTTTCTAGATGATTATAAATCCTATCTCTTATAATCCTTTCCAACACTTTACCCACAACCGAAGTAAGGCTCACTGGTCTATAATTACCAGGGTTGTCTCTACTCCCCTTCTTGAACAAGGGGACAACATTTGCTAGTCTCCAGTCTTCTGGCACTATTCCTGAAGACAATGACGACATAAAGATCAAAGCCAAAGGCTCTGCAATCTCCTCTCTAGCTTCCCAGAGAATCCTAGGATAAATCCCATCCGGCCCAGGGGACTTATCTATTTTCACACCTTCCAGAATTGCTAACACCTCCTCCTTATGAACCTCAATCCCATCTAGTCTAATAGACTGTATCTCAGTATTCTCCTCGACTACATTGTCTTTTTCCTGCGTGAATACTGACGAAAAATATTCATTTAGCACCTCTCCTATCTCTTCGGACTCCACGCACAACTTCCCACTACTGTCCTTGACCGGCCCCAATCTTGCAGATCTCAGGACACACGCAAGAAAGCCAACCTCAAATGATCACAACATGTACTGCAAGAGAAAAGAGTGCTCATTGGTTGATAAGCCAGATCTGATTGGTTGAAGCGTTGCTATCAAGAAAATAATTAGAACTAGAGGCTTCTCAAACTCCCTGGTAATTCAAACGCAGCGCCAGGCTTAAGCATATTCCTCAAATGACAAAAACAGAAGTTACTGGCAAAGCACAGCAGGTCCGGCAGCACCTGTGAAGAAAAATCAGAGTTAACGTTTCGGGTCCGGTGACCCTTCCACAGAACTGAATGTTTGATGTTTTGAGTTCAATGACTTCTTCAGAACTGAACAGATTCCTGTTGTTTGCAGAGAATAGGTTCCTGCACATGAATGTATGTCACTTCTGACATAAATGAGATACATTAAGAGCTTGATTGATCACACATTAGTATTGTTTTTGGCACACTTGTAATTATTCAGCAACTGCTGTCTAATGACCGAGTCACATCTAACAGTAGACATGATTCAATGTGTTAGTTCAGAAATTTGCTAATGGTCTTCCATACTGCTGTCTTTTTTTAATTGGCAAAAATTAAATGGTCAAAATACACATTTGAATTTGCATAGCTTTATCCATTATAAAAATGGCGTTACCATCAATTCTGCTGAAAACCTAGAAACGGAGATTTCAAATGTGTGCTCTCTTTGAGGAATCTAAGATTAAGTATAAATTCAACAGAGATGGAAGTTTACTTTGACTTTGATGCACTTTACAGCATGTGGAAAGATCAAATACAAGTTAGATCTCATACAATGTTTAAGTCTCAGAAGTCAATAAAGCTAATTAGAAGTGGATATCTAGGTCATGAAATGGCAAAGGCAGAAACGCACTTTATCTGATTTATTAAGTCTTCATGATGAATAAGTCTGACGCATGTTTCACCTTGCCAAGCAGTATTTTACTGACTACGATTCTGAACTCCAGAAGGAAACACAGAGGGAAATGATGTGTGAAAATTAAATTTCATTATTAGGATACAGAGAGGAATAGCTCAGTACTTCATGTAACAGCTGAGTTAATGATAGCATGGTATTTTTGTCTGTCGACTTTGGTTGTTTTCTTTAAAATAAATTCAGTCCACTGGATAAACCAACCCTTATCAGTTTGAATTTATGACCCAAGGCTTAAAACTTACAAAATAAATTAAGATCAACCGTTACTCAATATTCAAACTAGTTAGCAGACCAGGGATGAGCCAGTTATTATTTGTGGAAAATGTGACTAACTTTCTGTGCAGTTTCAAATCCTTGTTTGCTTTGAATAGTTTTACATTTTCATTATTAAATAGGCAGAAGATGCTGGAAGCAATCTGGCATTACCTTACATCATCTGATTGAGTCTGGGAACAAACCATCACAGAATTACAGTACACTCAGGTGACTGTGGAAGTAAGGACTGAGGGGAAAAAAAGAACTAAAATGTGTGAATCTTGCCCTAGAATGGAGATATCTTGAAGGTTATCAGGTACACAACACAGTCAAGCGAATGGAAGAAATGAATCCTGACCAGAACTTTAAACTATCACAAGTGGTGATCAGCACATGGAATTACCTTGACATATGATGGGGTGGTACATTCAAAAACAATCAGATGTTGCAATGGGATAATGGGAGGTCTTTCACAGTTAATGAACTAAGATGGAATGAATCGCCTGCCTCAGCTGAACCATCTCACTCAGAGGAGTTGTTTTTTTCCACCATACTGAAAAAAGTTGAAGCGAATGACCTTGGTACTTACACCAATGAGTAAGGCATTGCCATGTGACTATCCATTTGTCTTTTTGGAACAAATGTTTCTCAGGAAATGGCCCAAACACTAAGAGATAATCTATATCCTTGTTGCGTGGCCAAAATACGACATACATTGTAGAATCAGACCCAAAACAGCAAAACAAAGAAACTGCTTGTCACTCCTCAAGCTAATAATTTCTGGAGACATTACTGTTAAATCAGATTTTATTACATGTCTCAACCTAACCTAATCATTCTTCCGGAACACACCCACGATATTTCAATTTCCTTTTAATCCAATAAATCACAGCAGTATTGCCAAAGCACACTGATGAGAGGAAAATTAAATGCGCAGAAATGACCAAAGTTGATGAAAATTTCAAAGGGACACCCCAACTCAGATTACTTGGGATCCTTGATGACATTTAGATAGTAGGCCTTCCCAGCCACAGTAGTCCAGGTTGATTCAAAAATCATTGATAAAGCAATCTGTTTTGTTTTCTCAGTGCAAATAAGAAGCGTTGAAATAAAGCCATCTACATAGCATTAGATTTTCCTGTTTCCACGATTGCCAATGGAATATTTTCAATTCTTAGACTATAAGTTGCAAGTAGAACACTGACAAGGAATTATCCATTATTGTGTTTGTTTTTGTAGAACTTGTGTATGCCAAACAAAATCAGCTTATCATGCCTTGGTATTATCCATGCAAAAGCAGTTAAGGACTTTTTCTATGGAAGACGTTATGCAAAGCTGAAGTTCCTCTTTGAAAGCTTTCACAGCCAAGTCGTTCTTTCAGTCTTCCAAGTTCTGGGTCATGAATTGAGTTGATGCCACTGAGCTTCCAAGGTTGAACCTGGACACAAATGAATCCAAGTCCCAAGAACCTATGCCAAAAACAGAAGCAGCATTAGTGTAAATCAACACTGAATTGAACAGCTCAAGTCAACCGCCTGGAACAGAATCCTTTTACCTGTGATCTGTTGTGGCATGCAAAAGATGCCCAACTTCCCTGAACATATAGGAATGGGTGTTTAAGAACAAGCAGAATAAGGGATTTGTAAATTTGCTTGTCAGGTTTTTGTTGTATGTTTGAAGGTGTCCAAGCTGTTAGTATATTACTATTAACGGATAGTTGTGAATGCAGGGATTGACTTACTCTGGACTTCAGAAAACATTCAAAAAGAATATTTGTGACAACATATGGAATTCCACAATGTGATTACCACCTTGTAATTATTTGCTTTGTTTGTGTTCTTTATGATTTGTGCTTTGCAGAAATATCTGCTCAATGTTAATGACAGGAAGGTTTCCTCTCAATTCTGTTTGTGAAATTATAGTAGATTCTTTATGTACACCTTTACAGTCTTGCTACAAGCGAATGCGACGACCAGCTTAGTTTCTACCCATCCATCTCTATCCTAGTATTGATTATAAACACAATGCAATACTTGGGATCTACCTAGTTATTGTAGCTCCAGCTGAGGGCCTTGGGTCAGTCTGGGGAAGGTATGTGGGGAAAAGACAGTCAGAAGGGGCTGAACAGTGGTCAGCAGCAGTGACAGATTTATCATGGAGGCAGGAGAGGCCCAGCCACCTCTGCAATGTTTATTCCACATAAAGTGATAAATAGTTAAATCGACATGCGATGAAAGCGAGATTATTTTCAGCAAGTCTTCTCTTCCTGCTCCCATATCATTATCTATGATGTCATCTTTGGCTTCCTTTTCTTTGTATTTATACACAAACAAGGCAGCAACTTCTAGATGTACATTGACAACACTAAGATTTCCCTTGTCACTAGGCCTCTTGACGTTCCTACTGCATCTGTAATATCCAAGATTAGATGGAAACACAGCTTTCTCCAATTAAAGACAGGGAAATCTGAATCTGTAATTTTAGATCAACGACCAACTCCTAGCCTTGTTATTGATTTGAATCACAAAGAAAACGAATCATGTTGTTCCATCTCCCATAACTCAGTTCATCTCAAACTTTGCTTTATTTGAGCTCAACCTCAAAATCAATCCTCTACCCTATCCTTTCCAAGGTCCTGTTCACTAACCTATTTTGGTTATCAGTCCTCAAATGTCTCAAATTTAAATTCTTTATCCTCACAGCTTCATCCTGTGTAAGTTCTTCAGCCAGAGCTATAACTTTCCCCAATCTCTTAGCTACCTTGTCTCCAACTTTTTGTCAACAGTTCAGACCATCATTGACAGCTGGAACTTCATCTGGTAAGACCTCACACTCTACAATTCTCTTTCCTGAAAATTCTCAGCCTCTCCACTACCCTGTTCTTTCAGACATTCCTTAAACCAAGGCTTCAGGTAAACTCTCCAAATATCTCCCCATTTGTTTTCAAGTCCAGTCTTTCCAGTCCCTGTGTGGAGCTGTAGGACACTTCCTTTTCTTTCCATTTGATATCTTTAACAAATTACTGTTATTATTAAGAATTCTTGAGAAGGTTGTGAGATTAGCACACGTTTCCAATGAACTGGATTTCTCCCCATGTATTTCTCGCATACAAAATCATAGTCATGTGCAAGCCCACATATTTTATTGAATTTCATTTTCAGCAAAGGATTTTGAGCTGACTGCTGTATTTCTTACTGACAATTAGCCTCAATTTTATATTTCATAATACGGGGATGAAGTGACGAATATCAGGATACAGTTGCATTTCAAGCTTTTTTATTGCTGTTTGCACTATCATTTCATTAATCTAAAATGCACAGTTTGCTTTGAAAGTAACCCTGTTCTATGATGTCCTGTAACTTCTCCCTGCAGTCATTTACTAACAGCTTGAATGAAACATTGCATTTCATAACTTTCTAAACGGGAGGAGCGTCACTCTTTTCATTTCAGCCGGAACCAGATTTTTTTCAAGGAGGTGTCCATGTCACATTTTACTTTGTGCTTTTTATATTTGTCATGCGACACACTGCTCAACCTAAATGCAAATGATTTGTAGCAAGTTTTCACATTTCATTCCAAAATCTGTCTATTAAATGTTGAGGTGAATACTTTTTCTCCCTGTCTATTTTCTTGGAGTAATTTTATCTTCACTTCTGGTCTCCACAAAGTAGTCAGGAAAACTGAGCAGTCAATCTGCTCTCAGATCTCTCCTGCCTTGGCCTGAAACCACTTATAAAAGGAGTGCAAAACTGACTGGGGTATAAATGCCGAGGCTAATGCTTCGCCCATTGGAGCCCAACTAAGGCAGAATACTAATGTGGATCTTCCGTGAAATATCACTCTGCTTCATCTTGAAATGATGTTTTGATCGGAAAAAATATTTTGTCTTTTATCACCTCTCCAACCAAATCAGTATGAGCTTTCAATAGAGGATGAAAATGTGAACATTGCTGCTCTCTGAGATCTCTGTTAATGCAACTGTAGGGCATGCTGCAAAGAGAAGCCTGTTCTACTCACACCTTCAGGAAAACACCTTCTCTTGTTGGTGCTGTGGACTTTTACTTGGAAATTTAAAAGAATAGAAGAAGAAAATCATTCTAAGACTCGGTGGCACAATATCCTCTAATGTTAAGGTGCTGCCTTGGAAAAGAACTTTTTTTTTCATTTGATTCTGGTGTCGTCCACCCAAAGATTGCCCTTAGTGTGGTGATGAACTGGCACCTTGATCTGCTGCAGACCATGTGATGTAAGTACACCCACAGTGCTACTGGCTCAGGATTTCCAGAATTCTAATCCTGTGATATAGAAGGAATAGTTATATAGTTCCAAGTAAGGATGATGTTTGGCTTGCAGGGAACTTGTAGTTGATCACACTTTAATAGAATTGCTGTCCTTGTCCTTCTAGGTGGTAGTTGTTCCAGGTGTGGAATGTGGTGTCGAAGAAGCCTTGGTGTGGAGCCCAAACTTGCATATTGTCCAGTTCTGAGGAAGGGTCACCGGACTTGAAACATTAATTCCACTTTTTTCCTTCACAGATGCTGCCAGACCTGCTGAGCTTTTCCAGCAACTTTGTTTTTGTTCCTGATTTACTGCATCCGCAGTTCTTTCAGTTTTTGTTGTGTTGGATATTTTCCAGGTCTGGCTGCATTCTGGTATGGACTACTTCAGAATCTGAGGAGTTGCGAATGGCACTGAACATGGTTGGAGTTCGGATGCTACTATGTCAATCTCCTACAGAGTGGTCTGGGATTCAGAAAAACGGTCTTCAACAAGTGTAACCATTTTAACTTTGTGTGAACTGCAACTTCTACAAGTGGAGGGTTTTCTCCCTGTTTCCCATTGACTTGAGGCTTATCCGACGCTTGGTATAACAATGAGTCAAGTGCTACCTTGATGTCACCTCCCCTTTTGAGTTCCACTTTTTTTGTTTATCTGTTCCTTGTCAAATTCAAAGTGAGCATTAGTGAGCAGGTCATTGCGGAGCAAATGCATCTTGATAGCATTGTTATTGATTCCTTCAATTAGTTTTATGATGATCAAGAGAAGATTGATAGTGCAATAATTGGCCAGATTGTCCTTTTTTTTTGAGGAAAGGGGATAGCCTGGCAATTTTTCACATCGTTGGGCAGATGTCAGTGTTGTAGCTGTACTGGAACAGCGTAATAAGATGCATACCTCAAACTTGAACACATCTTTAGAGCTATTGTGGAAATGTTGTCTGGGCTAAAGGCCTTTGCACTATCCAGTGCCTACAGCTTGATATCACATGGAATGAACTGAATGGGCGGAAGACTGAATCTGTGATGCCGTGATATCATAAGGATGTCAAGTTAATTTTAGCAACTACTGTAAAAGCACTCATCTAACATTTTCACTACACCAAGCAATTAAGAACAATTGTTTTGAACAAAATATGATGATGTCATTTTAAAATGTAGGTGTCTTGCTTGACACATTTAAATGACCAAGTCAATTTGCAATTTCAGACCTTTTCAATCTACATGATTCTTCTTTGAGGATAAATGTCATAACCAGTACAAACCTCTGATTTCAACATTTTGTTTATATCTTTGAATCTGGCAAACAGGCTGTAAATTGCAGCTAGCGTAATTAAAACAGACACAGTTGTTTAACCAGGCCCTTTGGCCCTTTAGGTCTTTTAAACCCAGTCTTGTAAAACAGTTGCATTATCTGTTAATTGCCTCACTTGCAGAGGTTCAAATGAGAAGATACATAAGGCAAAATCCCAAATCATTATTCCAAACTAATATGGTCCCCCAAAAATGAGCAATATAATGAAAATCTTGCAAGATGGCACCTCCAACAGTTCAACACTGCCAGAGCACTAGACTGGAATTTCAGTCAAGATTCTCTGAAATGGGCCTTTGTATCTCAGCTGACATAGGAGTCTGGAATACACATCATTCTCTGATATGAACCTAACACTAAAACTGCTTTACTGTCATCTTGAAACCCGTACAGGGCAGCGGACATAATTTAAATTCAGTCCATAATTGTGGAATGTAAAGCTAGTCTTGGTGGTAATCACGCAACTATCATCTGATTGTCATAAACCCAATCTGATTTATTAATGATTTTTAGGTTGTTCCTTAACTGATCTGACCAATGTGTGACTGAATCCACAGTAATGTGAATGGCTCTTTAAACTGCACTCTGAAATGGACCTCTTGAGATTGATGGGTGAGAAAATGTTAGCCTTGCTAGCCACACCCACATCCCATGACAAAAATTGAGTCTGATTAACTCCCAGTCCTGAAAGGATAACATAATTTCTTGAGCTGCTGAAAGCTGGTGAGGGACCTGGCAGCAGGAGTGGCAACTGCACTGGCGAGGTTCAGCGAAGACTCACGGTGGAGCATTGGTGGAGGCGAGATGGCACTGGAGGCTGGCGACTCTTGTTCTGGCAGCACAGCGAAGAGTCTTGTGGCTGGCCGTTCCAGGCCCATGG